GACGGCCCGTTCGCTGCCCAGGTTGCTCGGCTACACCCGGCTGAGCTCGGCGGTGCCCTCCCTGCAGCCCGGACACCCGCGGCCCAGGGCGAAACGCAGCTGAATTAGGGAGGAAAGCAGGAAAGGAGCGGCAGCGGAGCTGGGATCCTGGTGTGACCCCGGGGGCGGCGTGGGGCGGTGGGAGCGGGGGTGAGGTGCTGTCGGGCCGGGCCCTGCCCTAAGTGTCACTGAAGAAAACACAGAGCGGTTCATTAGGTAGAATAAATCTTCATTCTGATTTACTTTCATGGTAGAAGTATCCCAGAGTGCGTTTGTCTGTCAGCGTGAACGACAGCGTTTTTCAGAGAGAGCCTGTGTCTGTGCTGCCAGGGTAACATGCACAGCTCGAGCTGCTCCGGAGTGTCCCTTAGCCCGGGTGGGTCCCTGTCGGTGACACGGATGACACAGCTGAGGTTTGACCCTTTGGAACGGTGCTGTACATGTGGCACTCTGGTTATCGCTGGGCTCAGCCTGCGCCGCTGCGGGGTTTTCTTATCTTGTCATTCTCGTAAAGCCGACATTATCTGGTTCTGTGTGCTGCAAGCTGGGAAAGTGTTAATTACTGTCTTCCCCTCAAAATGTGTTTCTGCAAAACGAGATATTGAAGGTGAGACTGAACTTACTAGCCAGTGTTTTAATATAGGAATAAGAAATTCAAGGCCATCCTTGTCTCTGTGTCTGTTTTCATTGCATGTGTGCAAATCTGTGCTGATGGAAGTGTCTCCTGATTTCACATACACATCCTCTGCACTTGCTTCCTTAATTATACACTTGTGTGTTTCAGTAGCTGTGCTGCATCATAAGCAGTTCAGTTATAATGAGTTCTTTTGATTTTTCTTCCCCCTCCTCCTGCACAGTCTGTTTATTGCTTTTTTTTCAAAGTCATCAGTAAAATGACAATTTGCAATTAACCGTGTAGCTGCTTCTAGGGTCAAGAGAGTGGGAAGAGTATGAGAGAGGAGAGAGGCTCTGTCCTGGAGAGCTTATGGTCTGAGCAGAGGCTGTGCAAAGAGAGTGTTAGGTGATGGAGTAACTGAGTGGGATGATTTACAGACTGGCGTTGCTTTATGTTTGCTCATTTCCCTAGTGTCAGATTAAGCACATAATGGATGTTATGGAGAGGCAGTTGTGAAAGAGGAATACTACTCAGCTACTCAGCTGTCAGGTGTATGAAAAATAAAGAACTGAAATGTAGAGTTATGCAAATACTAGGTAAAAAAATTAAACAATTGTTACGGTATGTTAGAGATAAGATTTGGATTGCTGGCCTTTGAAATAAACCAAATTGTTCAAGCATGGACTGTTCATAGCATTGTTTAAAATACATGTTGAGACGGTGCTGTGATCCTTGACTGTTACACTAACACTAAAGCTTTATAAAACAGTTTTGGGGGTACTGAGTGCTGTAGTGTGCTTACAGTGGTCTGTGAGGAAAGAAAACTGTCAGCAGGATGATAAATTGGTGTATAGCTGTCACCCCTTCCTCACAACTTGTTGCTTGCTGAAGTGTCTGAGTTTGCATGTCCACTAAGGCAGTAAATTGTCAGCAGCACCGTGTGCTGCCTGGGAAATTGTTTAGCACAGAGCTTTGGGTTGCTTAGCAACAACCTTCCTCTCCTTCATTTCTGTTTGTCTTTTAATAGGACCAGTATTCTGTATTCATTTTATTGCAGGTGTCTAATTTGCTTTCCAGTTGATAGACCTGAAGTGCAAACAAGGAGAAACAATTCTTTCAGAAATGTTTTTGCTCCTCTCGTGTGATACCTTAGCATGGTACTTTGATGACATGAGGTGCTTTAGGAGCTATTTGATTTGGAATCCACTGGGTCAAAGTCAGATGAAGTGGACACTGATGGTGACTGATTCAACGGCATTTGTTGGGATGTAACTTTTGTTTGTCTTTGCACTCCCTGGAACTTGGAGAGCTTGTGGCTGGCAAAAATGATGTGCTGAGTAACTGGCTTAGAGTAGGGGACGGTGAAATTCTGTGTGGCGGAAAATATTACTTGGATCCTGGCTTTCCACATTAATACTTTGACCATTTTCTAAAACCATCAGATGAACTTCGTATATATTCTGGTGCTATTCCCGATCTCTTAGAAATGTTAAATGGCCTTGTGTTGTTGTTGTTGAGGAGACTTTTGCTGTTAAATAGATGGCCTTTCTTCTATTGCTAATTCATTTCTGTGATCTCCGAGTGCTGGCTGTTTTGCTGCTGTGCAGGTGAAGTGGTTCTTCAATCCACACAGAATTCCTTGTTTGTTTCTGGCTTCACAGAAAACCGGAAGTATTTGGGGGAAGCTGAACAGCCTAAATACTCTGTGATGGGTCTCAGTAAAGAGGTCAGGTCAAGATGGGTATCTGGCAGCAACCAAACAGCAAGTCCTGAAAAGTTCTTGTGCACTGTGAAACTCTTTGTAAAGGGGTTTTGTCCCTTAGTGCTATTTCTATAGCTTTTTTTTGGCAGCTTTCTGCAGACTTTTCTTGTAAACGTGAACTATTACATGAAGGTGACAAGACTTTTCATTGTGCTTCTGACTTTAAAAATAAAAATTGAAACTGGAACATTGTTCTGTGGTGAATTTTATTTATATTTTTTCATATAAAGTGCCATAGAAAATATCAAGTAGGTCAGTTTTTGATATCACCTCACTTCCACTGTTTTATCCTCAAGCAGGGAAAACAATGCATAAGAGAGCAATCCAGATATTCTGATTTCTGCCTGGGATAGAGAGTCATGCCTTAAGGTGAAAAATCAAGTTACTAAATCAATTTGTATTTGTTCTGTACTTTTCCTACAGTATATAGTGATGATGTTGTATCAGTGTTTGTGCAGATGCAGTCAGAAGGTTTGATAAGAATTCATAATTTTTAAAGCTAGCAAGTTTAATTGCCAGTGGGGTTTGTATATTGATTGTTGGAAACCCGTCTGATAGACTGCAGGGTAGTTTTTGAAGGTTACTCATAACTGTAAGCATTTTCATTTTTGAAGCTTTCTCTTTAAACACCCTTGATTTTAGAGAATTATTAATTGCAAATAACTGTGAGCAGCATTGTCAGGACAGTAGGGTATAACTGGATTTTCTAACCGAATGATAAATTGCATGTTGAAATTAATGGTTGGAAAATAATATGGTGTGTACCTTTTATGCACAAGTAAGAGGCAGTGAGGATGAGATCACTGACACTGTAGTAGTTATATGGACCTGTGCAATATTCAGTAAATTAACAGCTGTGTGTGACCCAGAGGCCAAGGTTTTCTAGGGAATGAGGAGCTGAATGATCAGTGCAGTGTTTGTCCTAACTAAGAATTTCAGTGTATTCTGCATTTATGTCAGAAATGTGTGAGTTACTTTAACTTGGAAATCTGAACTTACTCACATTTTAGAATTTAGCCACTGCATTTCATTAGGAAACCAACCATCTTTTTTTTTTAATGTGTAACTGTTTGTGTGGAATGTATCTAAGCTGTGTTTTTAGGGGATGAGGAGAGCCACAGTGTGACTGGCTGAACTGAGTGATAAAACATTGGAAAGTATTTTGGTAGTTGAGAGCTCATAGCTGGCTGTGGCCTGCAGTATCTGGTGTGCTCTGCTCAGAAGGAATTCACTCAAAAATTGATAGTCTCTCTTCAGCATGTCCATTCTGTGGCAATTATATGAACAATCCATTTCTTGATGGAGCTCTTATTGCACTGGAAATCCCATGGGATTCTGTCAACCTCTACCTCTGTAAAGCAGGAATCTGATGGTGTTATTGCCTATGTTGTTTACTCTTTGGAGAGTTATTAACCTTTTTTTCAATTTTTTTCTTCAAATGAGTAAAACTTGGTTCATGTATACCAACCAACAAATGTGTAAAGAGCATCATCAACCTGTCATCAAACCATCAATTCCAGACTGGTGAATTATTTTATGATAAACTTACCCTTCATTCTCTGTTGGTGACCAGTTGGCCACTCACATGAGCAGTATGTGTGTGAACAGTTCTCTTACTAAAATTAACTGCAGAAGCTTTCATAGATGAACTCAGTCACTTGAGAAGTAGCATGGTGACCTATACTGGTACTTGGCTGGCGGTGTTGTTGTGGTAAGCTGATGTGTTTGTTGGTGTCAGACATCATGTGAAATGGAGCTCTTACGCAATGGATCTTCTGCTTTTGGTCTCCTTGTGTGTGCTGCTGCTAGTGGTGTGGGACAGTGCTCCTCTGTGGGCAGCTTGCTTTTGGGGGCTCCTCAAGACTGGATGGGATCCTATGTGGGTTTCAATTCAGGAGCATTGTTGGTACTGGAATGCTTAGTGGTTTCAAGGTTACTATAAAACAAAACAAATATGTAAGTGTCAATAGCAAAATACTGCTGAATTCACGTCTCTTGCACTAGCACTTCTGTCACACTTAATGGTTTAAATTAAAAATGGCTTGGAGACTAATAAAATCCTAAGAAAAGACATTCACGGGAACATCTTTTATTTTCAGGAGTGATACACAACACTGACTTTCTAAGCAGCATAGTTGTTTTTTTTCATTCCAGGTCCTGTTCAAAATCAGCAGATGCATTCCTCAGATGGCCAGGGATTCGGCCCTGCAGTTCCAGGATCGTACTCTCATCAGATGCTGGCAAAGGTTCCTCCACACCAGTCTTCTGGACAGTATAGTTATAGTGGCTCTCAGAATGTTTCTCAATCAAACAACTACCAAGGACCTGGCCAGACTCTCAATAGACCACCAGTGGCAGCTTTCTCTGGGTCACCAGTACAACAGCTAGGTCCTGTTCCACAAGTGCTGCCACCTGCATTACAGAACTCAGCTGCTGTATCATCTGCTGGGAACTTTCCTCCTGGGGCCAGCCCACCGGTGCTTTCAAACTGGCAGTACAGCCAGACTTCTGTGAGTCAGCCACTTGGGGCTCAAACAAGCCATTTGGCTCATGTGCCTGGGACAGGGTCAACTCAGCCACCGTTGTCATTATCAGGAAGTACAAATCCTGCAGGGAGTTACCAATATACTGCTTCTCCAGGGGCTCCTCCACTGCAGAACAGCTACATGAAGCCAGGTAACAAGAACTTTTTGATATTTTACTAATGTCCATTTTTCAACGACCTTTTAAAATAATAAGTATAGAACTGACTCTGCAGTGACATTTTGCTTGTGAAAGATTGTTCAAGCAGATACACCCATCAGAAATACACAGCTGCTTTCTTTGGGTTAGAAATGAAAGTTCTGTGCCCAGGTTTGGTGTTTCAGCTGGTTGGAGTGGGTAACTCCTGAATGGTGTCCCATTGTTTTGGGATGCTGTGTGTGGGTGATGCTGTTTCTGTGACCTTTACCATTTCCTGGGGTAACTGTTGAAGCATTAGCATGATTCAGTCCAGGACTTCACCATTGAAAACTAGTTCTATTTAGTGAGCATGGTCAGTAACCACTTGATTCAGGTAATTTTCTGAATAGCCTGTCAGGTTGATGCAAATAACTGGAGCACAACCTGGAAAGAAAACTGAAAAGCATTCTGTGCTGTTGAAATAGAGGTCAGTTCAATGGAAAGATTCCTTCTCCCAGATTTGTAATCTTCACATTAAATAATTGTCAGTCTGCAGAAAGTACTCTAAAAGTAGGAGACTCTGCTCCTGCTGGTTTTCTGCTGGTATATGCAGTGATAAAAGCTTTTCTAGCACAAAATAGCTCTATTGTGCAACTTGTGATTATTATGGAAACAGTTAATACTCAAGTTTCTCTTTGCCAAACTGCTGTATGTTAGTTTTTTTCTGACTAAGCATGCAAACAGGACTTAGGTACAGAAATATTTTCCATGTAAAAGCAAATAATTTTTCTTCTAAGTGCTTTTAGCATCATTAGAGATTTTTACTGATGCTAGTTTTTTGTTTTATGCCTGCTTAATTTTCTTATGCTGTTCAGAATGTCTTAAGCTTGCAGAATTTATGAAACTATTTCTGGTACGTAATTGGAATAAACAGCTAGAATTTTGGAATTAATGAGGAAGATGCAGAGAAATTTTGGAAAGTGGAGTATGATATGAGAGCAAGTGTTTGGAATAAGTAATTTTTATATCCATTCAATACTCCTGAGCCATTTCCCTGGTATTTTTTTGTATAACAATGATCACTTTTTAAATTAATTAAACTTGTTTGGAGATCACTCCAAACTTGGTTATAGAGTTGGCTATTTTCTGTATATCTTGAAATTCTTGCCGACAGTAGTAGCAAAAAACTGAAAGAGATCAGTAACTACAGGAACCCAGAATGAGAAAAGCATGACAGAAACAACCTGAAGTTGAGACCCTCTACCCACATGTTAGGATTTATGTATCTCATGCTGTTCATCCTCTCAATAACAGGAATATTTAGAATACAATATGTGTGTTTTTGTAATAAAACTTCTGTGACTTCTTTCAGCTAGGTTAAACTCTTCCTAAAAGTTAATCTCTTTATAGGATCCGCACCACCACCGGTTACTCAGCCTTTAACTCCACTCCACCCTCCAAGGCCACCTTTAGGACCTCCACCAGTCAGTGGTCCACCTAGGCCATCAGCAGCAGTAGCAGGACCACCTACTGCACAGTCTCTGCTAAACTCAGCTGCAAACCAAGAAGGTAAGAAACAATTTTCTCCTTACATTAAATTCAAACATTGCAACTTGCTGCAGTGTGCAACCTTTAAAGTCAAGCACATTGTTCTATTAGAGACTCAAATTGTACAATTAGTACTAATACAGCTAATAACTTAATCTGAAAAGAGCAGGTAAGGACCTGGAAAGAAGAAAAATTCTTGTAAACAGGTATTAATAAAATCTAAGTAATTAACAGTTGAAAATAGATTTCCACGTGCTGTTTTGCATGGCCATGTCTCCTGTAGTTGGCATTGCTTTTTTTTCCTTTTTGTGTTGTAAAGTGATAGGAAAATTCTCATTTCTCTGCATGGAGGACAGAAATCCATGTATGACTCCCTGTATTGTTCATTCTACAGGGAGAGATAAAATGTGAACCTTGCAATTCCTTGCTGTTTATGTAGCTGTACCTTATTATTCTCTGTGTAAAATCACTGAAACACACATCTTGCACTTGCTGGTTTTATGAAGGAAGTTGCTAGAGGCTGTGAAGTGTCAGCTGTTGAAGACAGGTACCTGATTTTGTGTCTGCTGTGGGCCCTGCACAAATATGCCATTGTTTAAGAACTCCTCAGGGCTCTGGATCAGACTCCAGTTGTTTGGCATTTAGTGCCCATGCTAGATGGGGCCATGTGTGAGTCGGCAGCTTTATTTTTATATATGTAGTTCTGTCAAAGCTGTTGGTTCCTTGCATGGTCAGATTGACAGTTTCTCATGTGTGGTAGTTCTGTGAGTATATTCAGATTTGGCTTAGTTTGGAATGTATTAAATACATTGGAAACAGCTTTTTTTAGAAAATATTTTCTTCATCATGAAGAGAAACATTTTCAGAGTCCTGGAGAGATAAAAATGTTTAGTCTATGAAGCAGGTTGCTGCTAGCAAGATTCAGTGTATAATGTAATGTAAGTGCCTTCTATTGGTTCCTTTTATCTTTGAGGATTTAATAAAAAATGATAATAAAATAGAGTACCTATTTGTCCTTAGCAATATATAGTTGTGTTAGTATATTTAGACATGGTTGTCTTACCAAAAACTGTCCTTTGGGAGCACTCTGCATTTCAAGGTTTTTCTTATCTTAGACTGAATTTCTGTCTTGACTGGTATGTGACTGTGTCAGAGCTGTTGCTGTTTGGTGAGCAGTGATGGGCTGAATGTGCAAGTGGAGGGAATTTGGTGTTTATGTGAATTATCAATGGAAAAAGTTCTTCAGGGGGATCTAAGCTACAGGTTACTTGTAAAACTGCAGCTAGCCTAAAGAGACCTCCTCTGCTGAGGAGGGAGCATCCCCTGACCCTTTACTGCATGTTGGCTTGGAAACTGGCAAATCCCTAATCTGAAGGAGTCATAAAAGATTATTCAACCAGAAGTGCTGGGACTTCTGTTTTCCTCTAAAAAAATAAAAATAATGTTTTATGAATGTCCTTTATTGAGGTCACATCTGCAGGGGACGTGTGTGAGAAAGAGGACAGAATGTGTATTTAATTCAGAGTTTCATCCTGGGTCAAAACCAAGGTAGATTTGAGCTATGCTCATCTTAATATTCACCCAGAAAGCAGGATATTTTTTGCAGTTACCTCATTAAAACTTCTTTGTAACTTGTGCAATTTTTTCCTGTGGTTGTTTTCCTTTAAAGGTGATGCCACATCTACTGCCAGTGATGGGTCTGTAGTGCAAAACAGCTACGACACAATCGAAGGTGGTGGCCTTATGGGTAAGGCTTTGGGAGTAAAAATGGTTGTTATTATTATGGAACTTTTGGAAACTATGGAAAGATAGAAGTCTAAGCATTTGTGTACAGACATATGTACTTGGTTCAATGCCTGTCTTGAAGCTAAATGCAAAACTTGATGCATTGACAATTAGCATGTTTTGCCTGTGATATGTAAAGTAGGTGAGAGCCCTTTGCAAAGTTGACAGCAGCTGTATATTTTACACTTAAAAACTAAACAGGCAGCTCTCCTCTTGTACAAATGCCTCAAGTAAGGTACAGTTCTTCAGCAATTAAGTGTCTGTCTACTCTGCTTCCAGCAACTCCCCATCATTCTCCTGCAGCCCCAAATCTTAAGATGAATAGAAGTGTTGGGTATTCTTACCCTGCCTTGCCTCCAGGCTACCAACATACTTCTCCACCTGGAGCACCAGGAATGAATGCATCTGCTTTGCAATATCCAGATGGATCAAAACATTTCCACCAGGTAAAGATTGTCTGGTTTCTACCTCAATAATACATCTGTTGGGGGCATGTGGGTAAAGAAAAATGATGGTTGGTAGGAGTTGTGCAACTCTAGGATGCTGCTTCTTTTCTTCCCTGTTTGGGCACTGTTTGTTCAAGAGGACAGACATAGCTGACAATTAATGCTTTTGCCTGTGCCCTGGTACCAGTTTGGCAAAGCTTTGTACCAGCTCTTTGTGAAGTGTTCCACCCTCAAATCTGTGCAGGATGTTTCTTTTGGAACTTTCAACTGCTTTTTGGCATGTTTCTCTTCCGTGGCATTGTTATTGTTAGCTGAAGTATTTGGTTTTTCTTTCCGTGAACTTTCAAAGTGAACTGACCAACACTTTCACCAGCTAAGCCTTTGTATTTCAAGAGGTTTATAGGAAAATTATGCTACTTTTTTCCTCTGTTATCTTACATGCGTAGGTCAAGTTCACATGACAACCAATATTTCTAAATAGATGGATAAAATAGCAGTTAGTACATGAGCAAAACAAAAGGGACATATATGTGCTTTTTAATGGACTGTGGGTTTTATCCAAGTAATTGGTGCTAATTTGTGAAATTTTATTGGACTCTAGCCTGCCCTGGGCACTAATCACTTAACTGCATCAATGGGTGGTCTGAGTCTACAGCAAGAAGGGTTAAGACCTGTGAATCTTCTTCAAGAAAGAAATATTCTTCCTACCACCCTTTTGAAGGCTCCTGTCCCCAACTTGCATGAGGACATCCAGAAGCTCAACTGCAATCCCGAGTAAGATTATGCATTTGCTATAATGCATCAAAATAGATAGAAGTAAAATTTCCTAACTATAGACATCACAAAATATTTTCTTTAATTTTATGAGTAGAAAATATTGAAAACGGGCTTCACTGTAGTATGATAAAGGCAGTAAGTGGGTTTAACTTTGAAGAGAGGAAAATCATCTTTGTAGGAAGTATGAGGAAAAATTTGTTAACAGGGCAGCTATAGATAGGTACGGAACAAAAATTTTATGCTTGGCACTGAGTAAGGATGAGAAGATATAAAACAGGAGTTAATTCAGTCAGGTGAGGTACATCAAAAAGATTGTGCATGAAGAGACATGAGTGATCTCTGTATTGAAAAGTAAACATTTAAAAAATGGAGTAAATGACATTTCAAACAAAAGCTTGGCAGTTGATTAATCAGTTATTCTCTCTGAGTAGACCAATCAGTGTATAGCCAGGGACTTCTGCTTTGCTAATATTTTTATGGTAGGTAAAGGAAATAACAGCGCCTTTGAGACATTGTTCATGCAAACAAGTTGGACAGGATTTGCAAAACTGCCACATACATCTGCACTTTGTGGAAGCTACTGAGTGCTCAAGACACAGAAAATGATTGTGGGATTGTTTATAGTTACTAAGTTTTGAAAAACACCTTTTAAACATTGCCGGTTCTGATATATTCCAAAATAAAGTTTAGTATATAAAGACGTGGTGCAACTTTGAATATTATTAGGCTTAACTTTGGCTTGAGTGACTGAAATGACACTCAGCTCTGTATAAAGAGCGTTTGTATAAAATAAGAACTCAAAGTATGTACTGTGGGTCAAGCTCAGACAGAAACAAAGTGATTTGACAAAGATGGATTAGATATTTTATCTGGAAATAGAAATTCACCACTAACAACTCTAGAAAAATATACTGTATTATTGAAATAATAATTTATTTGAAAACCTCTGAAAATAACCCTTTGTCCTCCATGTAGGTTGTTCCGCTGTACCCTGACTAACATTCCTCAAACTCAGGCCTTATTGAATAAAGCCAAACTTCCTTTGGGGCTCCTGCTTCATCCTTTCAAAGACTTATCGGTATGAGAAATATTCAAAATTTTACATGCTGAAATACCAGTTATGCCTTTACTAGAGTCCAGACAATGGACAATGAATTATAAAACAAGGGCAGGCATCTTGGCCCAGAACAACTCCCACAGTAACTGACGTTTCTTTGTTCCATACAGATCACTGTAATTTTTCTCAATTTATACTCCCTACCATTTGAAAACCTCAGATCTCACTTTTTAATAAAGAAGAAAGCTTCCACAATCTCAAAAAAACAAAAGCTTAAAGGCAGCACAGAATTTGGACTGTGATAGAAGGCAACACCTCAATTCTAAGTTGTCACGTATCAATTATAGTTATTAATTTCAAACCTAGTACTAATTCTAAACTCAAGACTTGACAAAGTTGAAGGGATTTGGATGTCATGACATAGCCAGAAGACTTTGCATTTAGTAGTGTCTCTCTTAAACATTGGATTTTTTTTCTCAGTTTAAGTGATTTTTCAAAGATGTGGGCTTTTTTTCCCCCTTTTTGATCTGTGTTGGGTGCAGGACTTGATCTTAAACCATCAGTGTAAAATTCAAGAATTTAGAGACTTGGAAAAGGAATCTACACAGTCAAATATGTTAGAGCTCAGTTCCTACCTGTTGTATTAAGGAATTGCAGGGATGCTGTGAGGATTCAGAAGTTACTCCTCCTTTCACCAAGGGTGCTTTGCCTCACTAGCTAGCACAGTGTAGGTGGTGTTGTTACCACAGATAAACAGCTGCAGGGTGAGGATGCTTTAAAACAGGAAGCTTTTCCATTCCAGCAATTGCCAGTGGTCACTTCCAGTATTATTGTGAGATGCCGTTCCTGCCGGACGTACATCAACCCCTTTGTCAGCTTCCTAGATCAAAGGAGATGGAAATGCAATTTGTGCTATAGAGTCAATGATGGTAAGTTTTAAATGTGCTTTAAAGTGTTGCAATTAACCTTTCCCACCTTGGCCTTTGAGACTGGAATGTCGTCGGGCACATCAGTAGGAGGATTGTTGTCAGTCAGGCTGGGAGTCATGAGAAATGTTTCCCAGTGTCAGTGGTGTCCCTAAAGAAACACAATAAGCCCAAGTCATCCCTCAGGGTACCCTTGCACAAGTGTAAGGGAACTCCACTGCCTGGTGTAGTTTTCCATGTGTTGCCCAACAGCCTCAAAAGAGCTGGTATATTTGTTTTAAAATGCAGCACAGCCAATACTAGTATGAAATACTAATATATAAACTTACCTGCATAGTTCCTGAAGAATTCCTGTATAATCCTGTGACAAGAGTTTATGGAGAACCTCATAAAAGACCTGAAGTCCAGAATGCTACTATTGAGTTTATGGCTCCATCTGAATACATGGTAAGGCTTTATTTACTTTTACTTATTCTCTCTGTATTATTTTCAGAGGGAAGTCAGAGAAAGCTTTGTTTCAGAGGATGCTTTCCAATTCAGTAGAACAGCTATTTCCTTAAGCAGTGTATCTGAGAACTCAGGGGGAGAACTTCAGAGAGTTCACTTCTAAACATTTATGATGTCAAAGTTACTCTGTATTTAGAATATGTAGGTATCTTCAGAAGAAAACTAGACTTCTGGTATTACTAAATGAGAGGCAAATGCATTCAGAAATTTTAGCTATGATTCATGTGCTGTTTTAACAGTTTAAACTTGCAGTGGAATGAATAAACCTAATCTAACAAATGCTGTTTGAAAATTAAAGATAATCTTTTCTTTGCTCAGCTGCGTCCACCTCAGCCACCTGTGTACCTCTTTGTGTTTGATGTCTCTCACAATGCAGTAGAGACAGGATACTTGAACACAGTCTGCCAGACGTTGTTAGACAATCTTGACTCGTAAGTATTTTTTTCTTAAAATCACCAATTTTCATTCCTCTTAAGAAACTTGTGGTAGACACCAATATGCCAGTCCTTTCTGTCTGGAAGACAGGTTTCCTAGTATGGGCAAACAGTGGTCAGTGTTGTGTTAAAATGTACCATAAAGCTGTAGTCTTTTTCCCATCACAGCTACACCAGTATTAAAGGTGTTGATTGAAAATACTTGATTTTTCAGTCTGACTTTTTCCTACATGCTTCATCAATCCCCAAAAGAATATAATCATCATGTTTATGATTTCTTTTGAACTGTATTTTTTAAAAGCTGAAATTTAGATAAGTATTTGCTGAGAACAGTCATATATCTAATAAACTTCTCATAAAATGTATACTGATTGAAATTACATAAGCACTACTTGATATTTTGTAGTTTATTTCTTCCTTTTCTTCCACTTCTGATTACCCTCTTAAAAGGTTTTCACCTGCCTGCTAGGTGATTCTACCATGAGCTCCTTTTTTGTTGTGGTTTTTGTTCTTTTCGAAATGACTTGGGGAAGCTCTTGCAGTCTAGCTGCTAAACTAACTGCTTGATAACAACCATGGAGAGATGCAGTGGATGATAAAAAAAAAAAAAAAAAAAAAGCCTGCAGAAATGAAATTTCATCTCACTGAACACCATATGTCTCATTTTCAGGCTTCCTGGGAACACTAGAACAAAAATAGGCTTCATAACGTTTGACAGCACAATCCATTTCTACAGTCTTCAGGAAGGTCTCTCTCAGCCTCAGATGCTTATAGTTTCAGATATTGAAGGTATGCAAAAATAATTTTTTTTATTAGTACCTAGTAATGACTTCTGGTTATGACAGCCTTTAAAAATATGTATCTGGTGGGAGTTTCTACATCACACCATTAGTCTCCCTAGTAATGACTTTAGAAGTACAATATGTGTGAGTTTGTTCATGAAGACATCTCCCTGATGTTTGAGCAATGCTGTGACTGCTCATGACTTCAAATGTGAAGACAGCCTTCCTAACTTCTAGTTTAATTTGTACAATTCTCTAGATTCCTCTTGAAATCCTAAATATGGATGCTGGATACCTTTCTGTAGATTTTTCTTGTAGCTGGTGCTTGGTGGTGTCCTTCTGCCTTTTGTTTCCAATCACCTTTCACTGAATGTTACTGCGCAGGGTACAGTGAACACTGGAAATATTTGCTATGTGATTTTATTTAATAGTCTTGATTATCCTTCTGCCCTGTTGACTGCTATTCTAACATGGGATTCTAGCCACAGGAAAGCTTATTAAAAAAAAAAAAAAACAAACACACAATTATGTTTACATGGGTTAATACTGATACTGTGTTTTGTTTTTTTCCAGTAAGTCTGATGGTTGGCAAATAGAGCCAGGGGAAAGATATGTGTTTTTAGAAGATAACTCAAATATTTTTTTTTTGCCTTTCAGATGTATTTATACCAATGCCAGAAAACTTATTAGTAAATTTAAATGAAAATAAAGAGGTAAGAAGCAAGGACTTTCTTACATAACTAGTGACATTTACGTAATTGGGGATATGTGTGGTAATTTTTGATTAATTAATGCTTATTCACACCTGCTGTTCACATGCCAGGTTTGAGTGAAAAAAAAAAGGTCTTTCATCTATGTCACTGTAAATTCTTGCCAACCTGGAACAAGACAGTACTTCAAATTTTCTAGGACTTTCTCTTTACTACTTTAATATTAGAAGTGTTAATACTTGGTTATGGTAAGCAATCAGCTGTATATAAAGTAGAAAATCACGAAGACTCATAGGCCTAATACTGTTTTCTCTCTTGTAGCTAATTCAGGATCTGTTGAAGACATTGCCACAGATGTTCACCAAGTCTCTGGAAACTCAGAGTGCTCTGGGGCCTGCGTTACAGGCTGCCTTTAAACTGATGTCCCCTACTGGAGGTAGAATCACTGTCTTCCAGACACAGCTTCCATCTGTGGGAATGGGAGCACTAAAGTCACGAGAAGAGCCAAACCAAAGAGCAACAGCAAAGGTTAGGAAAGCAAAAAGGTTTAGAGTACTAGCAAACCTGTTCTGTGCATGTAGATGGTTCTGGGATTTCCTCTTCTGGGTTAATTTTGTGCTTATTTTGCTTCTTTGTTAAAGTAGCAGAAAAAACAAAAAAAACCCAAAGAATATAAACACTAATTAATTACTGAGTAATAAAAAAATATTTTTTTTTATAAAAGATTTTTAATCAATGATGGAGAATTGATTGTACGTGTCCCTGAAAACAGACAAAAAATGTATGAATCAATTTAGATTTCCTTTGTATTTTGTAATACTCCACTGTGTTGATAGGATATACATCTGACACCATCGACTGATTTCTACAAGAAGTTGGCCTTGGATTGCTCAGGGCAACAGGTTGCAGTGGATTTGTTTCTTCTTAGTGGGCAATATTCTGACTTGGCTTCTCTAGGTAAGACATATAAAGCTGTTTTGGGGCATATAACTCTTGTATTTTGAGCAGATACGTAGAATATGTGTTAATATTTAGTAGATGAACCTGATTTGAATTAATCTAGCATGTGAAGATACAAACTTGTCCTTGCTGAGCAGTGACACAGAACAGAATGTAGTCTATCAGTCCTGATTTAACCTACTTATATTTATGACCTCCCTTAGTGAGTCAGGATTCTTGTTCTGCTGATACAAGTAGCAGAAATACTTTCTTCCTTTTTATGCCTTTTAACCATCAGTGTCACTGCCTTTAGAGCAAGTTTTATTGGCATTCTAATTACCTTCTTTTCTGTTTAACCAAACTTTAAAGTTTCAAGCAATTTTAGGTCAATGGAAAATTATTTCATACCTGAAATTTATCACATACTAGAATATACAGTTGTACTACATCTCTACAGGCGTGTCTGTAACTGTGTCTGAGTGATTTGTAGGTGTGAACAATTTAATAGTTTAAAGGCTGCAGCAGCAACTGTCTGCAACAACTCTCCAATGTATACTGGTTTTATTTCAGGTTGTATATCAAGGTATTCTGCAGGTAGTGTCTACTACTACCAGTCTTACCATCATAAACACAACCCTGTCCAGGTGGAAAAATTGCAAAAGGAACTGAAGCGTTATTTAACTAGAAAAATTGGGTTTGAGGCTGTCATGAGGATAAGATGCACCAAAGGTCTGAATTCACCTTCTTGGATTTTTGGGGGTTGAGAAAAGGGAAGTGGGTGTTTGCTGTTCTTTGGGAATGTTTTCATTGTATTCTAGCTGTTTTGTAACCAAAAGGCAGCGATTAGAAAAGTAAAATTTAGTATCAGGGATAAGACAGTTTTTTAAAGACTGTATTTGCAGTGTGTTTTCTGGCATCCGAGTTCCAGTTTATAATGGTCAAAACTGGAATTTTCCTGGACTGCTATTTCAACCAGGGACTGGTTTTATACTCTAGATACTTTCTGCTACTCTGCATTGATTTGCCTTGCTAATTCCCACTTTCTGGTAGGCTTTGTGGATTCTTTGAATTAGTTGTCAGTTTGCAGTATTTACGCTTTTTGAAGAGAATGTGTTTCATTGAGAGGGAACATTCTGGTATAGTCATATACATTGATAGCAGATCTGTATATGGTGCCTGTACTTCACAGCTATAAAACCCAAACTGATTCATTATTGTCTTGTAGGTCTTTCCATTCATACTTTCCATGGGAACTTCTTTGTACGATCTACAGACTTGTTGTCATTACCCAATGTAAACCCTGATGCGGGATACGCTGTGCAAATGTCAGTGGAAGAAAGTCTTACTGATATGCAAGTTGTTTCTTTTCAGTCAGCTCTCCTGTACACCTCCAGCAAAGGTAAGGTTAGATTGAACCAACGGTGGCATTTGTAGTGTTGCTTCCAACCTACAAGCAGTATGGAGGTTACAGTTTTCTTTCCTTGCAGGTGAAAGACGAATTCGTGTCCACACTATGTGCTTACCTGTAGTCACAACACTGAGTGATGTGTACCTAGGGGCAGATGTGCAGGCCATCACAGGGCTCTTAGCCAATATGGGTGAGTGTGCTTAGAGCTTGTTTAAATGTGTGGATTGTATCCTTAAAGGTCTGAGCAATGACCCTCTGGGAGATGGCATTAGAAGAAAAGATTCTCCCTCATAGAGTGCTTTCAGAATTGCAAGCCTAAGAGTTTTGGTTTTAATGCTTGGCCTGGGTGAAGGATCAGTAGAGCTGTGTGTAATCACCTGGGCTTAGGCTTAGTCTGGTGCATCATGGTGGGCCTCAGCTTTTTTCTGAAGCACTTGACTTCCCCTAGAATGTAATAAAAGCTTAAGCTGCATGGACATATGTGATAAAGTGAGAGAATTTAATGTATGTGACTGTATTCCTGCCGGGGGAGGAAACCCCTGTTATTTGAACCTTGCACTCTGTTTTCAGCTGTGGACCGCTCCGTTTCCGCGACACTGAGCGATGCTCGGGATGCCTTGGTCAATGCAGTGATAGATTCTTTAGCTGCTTATCGCTCATCTGTGCTGAGCATCCAACAGCCTGGGCTCACAGCTCCCTACTCACTGCGGCTCTTCCCGCTTTATATACTGGCACTCTTAAAACAGGTAAGGGGGGAAGTGAGGCCAGGCAAGAGGATGATTGTTTGGCAGGTCAGCCTGCAGTAAAAGGACGGTTCTTTGATGGAGAATGATTTAGTTCAAAAGCAGGAATTTAGAAACATGCATAAAACTGAAAGTATACATGTTTTAAGCAATGAAAGGGCAAAATAATAGACACTGACTACTGAAGAGAATGTGTCAGGGTACTGATAGTGTTTTCTCAGGAATCTCAATTTTGTGCCTTTCTGGAAATGCAGATCCACACAGCAGTTCAGTGTGGATTAGAAGCGAGCTGGGTGTGTGGCAGAGAGGGAGTTGGCTGGCTGTTCTTGCAACAGGTTTAAAGCATTTCACAGTACTTGCTCAGTGTAAATATTTTTTAATTGAACTTCCCTGAACAGTTACTAGAAGTCATTTAAGTGTTGGACAAACTGGTTTCCTGGTTCAGAAAGAAGTTTGGGATTCATACATCTTGATTAGGAATTAACCAGCGTATTCATATTGAGCTTTTTCATTTGAAAGGCTTGGTAAACATTTGATCCAGTCAGGTGGGAGGAGTGAGCCCTACTTTGATTTACAGCTTTTTTTGGTCTCAACAAGCCAGGACTATCTCTTTCTTGTAAATACAGACCTAAGGATCTGTACATTGAAGCCAATTGTAAACTGCTCCAATATTTATTCTTTTCAATTTAATCAAGTAGCATTCTTGAGGTGTATGTTAGAGAGTATTTCAGGGTGCTTTCATCTCAGCTGTAGTGCTCACTAGAAAGGATTGATGGTGTCAGGTCAAGGTTAATTCTAAAATCCAGAATTGGGAATGAGACTTGCGTGATTTATATGTAAAGCACTGAAGAGAACTACGGAGAAGTCAAATACAATGAGAAAACATTTAGAGTACATCTCTAATACTTAATTAAATTGGAAATAAGCACTAGGCAATGTGTGAAATTCAGTTTATCTTACTTTGCTTTAATGGTTAAACTAAATGCATGATTGTTTGCAGAAAGCATTTCAAACTGGGACAAACACACGTTTGGATGAACGCATCTTTACCATGTGTCAGGTGAAAAACCAGCCCCTTGTTTACCTCATGCTCATGACACATCCCAGTCTATACAGAGTCGATAATCTCACAGATGAGGTGAGTCTGCCTTGCTACGTAATTTGTTTGATCCCAAAGATTTGTGTGATGTGAAAGTAAATGTGTTAAAAATTTCCCAATATTAATCTCCATATTAAAGCTACACAGCTAAAATGTAATGTTTTATATTCTCCCACTTGTTGCATTTGTGCATTTGTTATTTGGAACTGGATTGATGAGTTCTGGAGAAAGCTGTGCTTTGGGTGGGGAAGGTTTTTTCCTAACTTATTTCAGCTTTGCCTTGTGTTATTATCTTGGCTATAAATCACATACACATAAAGACATCATAATGGGCTTTTTTTGTTCCTTTATTTTAAAATATCAAGCAGTTTTGAGAACAGGGAATCTTTATGTGGAACCCTGAATAATTTTAGAAATCACATCATAACAAATTGGTGCATAACAAATTGGGTATTCTTGTTCTAGAACTAATTAACTAAGATACATTTGATGAAATTCACCCTCTTTAAATGAAACATTGTTTTATTAGTAAATTACTGACTAATAAAGTAAATTATCACTTTAAGTATGACTTGAGCTAAACTGAGAAAAACAGTCCAGCTCCAGTATTCAGTGTAATAGATTCTCCTCTTATTTAAAGTTCTACTGTTTTTTTGCATCAAGATGTGAACCACTGTTTTTCATCCTTCTTTTAGGGGGCTCTTAACATAAATGACAGAACTATACCTCAGCCGCCCCTTCTCCAGCTGTCAGTGGAGAAGCTGAGTAGGGATGGTGCTTATCTTATGGATGCTGGCTCTGTAAGTTGTGTGGTGGTGGGGATTTTAAAAAGTACCTAAGTGTTCTTTCTGAGAACTCAGAATATGTACGAGACTGCTCAGGTGTGTTTTGGGTTGAATTAATGTTATTGATGGTTTCTTTCAGGTGATGTTTCTGTGGATCGGGAAGAACTGTGGGCAGGGCTTTATCAGCCATGTCCTTGGAGTTCCAAATTATGGCTCAATACCACAGAATATGGTATGTGCTTGCTCTGCACATCAGTTGTACATACAGTGCTGCCAGAATATCATTTGCATGAGAATTAAAATATACTACTCAGATTTTAGCCCTCTAGTGGTATAGATCCAGATCCAAGGACAGAAATAATTTTTGTTACCTCTTAGAATTTCTTCTCTTGAAGACACGGTAGGAAGAGGCTGCCTGATTCAGTTTTTCAGACCTGTGGGAGCAGACTAAGAACACTTGCAAATAATGAGCATAGTAGGAAAGTAGGAAATCCTTTAGTTTCTGCAACAAAGCAGGAATCAATCACAGCTCAGTCATTAACATTCTGACAGCTAATTGCTCATAGCAGTTTTGTGCTCTTGACTGTTTCAAGCCCCTTCAAAGAAGACAGGACTGAAACTATATATCAAAAAATGTATCTGTCTGGGTTTTCTTTATACTAATGAGTTGGGCTAGTTTATGTGTTCCTTTCACTGTTTTCTGAAAAATGCCCTGTTTTTATTAATAAAACCCTTTGGCTTTTAGACACATCTCCCAGAACTTGAAACAGCAGAATCCATCAGAACACGAGCTTTCATTTCTTGGCTGAGAGAACAGAGACCTTTCTTTCCTATACTATATATAATAAAGTAAGTGGTTTTTAACAGTGTTTAATTTTTGCTTCTTCAGCAACCTGTTAACAATACGTACTTGGATATCATATACTGAATTTTCTTAATGGAATTCTTAACAATAGTGTGGTAAGAGTTGTCTCCAATTAGAATTTCAAAAGACTAAAAAAGATTAAGTGTCACAGAAGAATCTTTAGGTAATGTCAGATAAATGAAGTAAATGCTGGTAAGAGCACTTACTAGGATTAATCTCTACTAAGGGCTATTTGAGATCCTCTTTTCATATGTCCTTAAGCTCTTGAAATGTCTTGCCACTTGATATGTAACTTTATTAATGCATGGTAGCCCATGGCAAATGTTCATTCCACTCAGACACTTATTTTTGTTTTTAAGGGATGAGAGTCCATTGAAATCAAGTTTTCTGCAAAATATGATTGAAGACAGAACAGAATCAGCCTTATCATACTATGAATTCCTCCTTCATATACAGCAGCAAGTGAATAAATGAAACACTAGCCTTTGGCTTACTTCTTTAAGGAAAGATTTTGCAGTAAAGAATGATTGTGCTTGTAATACCTTCATTAAATCTGTGGCCTGAGGCAGTTGATGAGAAGTTCTCACTGTGATTTCAACGAACTAAAGCAAATAAAGGACCACATCTGAGAATCAAATGTGCAACTACATAATATTGTACCTTAAAAAAAGAATCAAACTGTTGGAACTGGTTGAGCACCTTTAATTTGCTGCAAATCGTGTTTTTACTGTAAGTAGTTGCAGCATGAAGTACATTTACAAAGGCAATACTGAAAAGGTGAAATACATTTTGTAAAATAAAGAGTTCTTTGTTGTTCAAAATGTATATTTCTGTAACTTTTTTTTTTTTTTTTTTTTGCTGCTAGATATAAAACCTCATAATACTGATCATGATTTGCAGGGAAATTTCTTCTAAGTGCATCCAGTGATTACAGACAGAGCATCTCAATGTTCAACTTAATGCTTAAAGTAGCGATGAAAGAAGTGTTCATTCATTGTGAAATGAACAAATGCTTATGAAGTATAGAATCCAGTGCTTGGATTGGATTATGGCTAATAGGACTAAAGGTAAGCTTAACCTGGATAAGGTGGCTGAATTTGTTGAAGCTTTTAATAAGTTATTATTCTAATTTTAAAAACTGGGGAAGAGTGGGCCCTACATGAGACAGATTTTTAAAAGTCATTGGCTGAGTTGGCAGCAAAAGTAGACTTAGGTAGATGGTAAGCTTTGCCTTTCTTCAGTAGAAGTAATAGTTTTAATTTCAATTAATGGTGTGGGAGGGGAAGAGCAAGGAAGGTTATCTCAGATTTTGTTTGGTTTATGTTCAGTAGACTTTTGTCTCTTGTTTACATTAAGCAAATATTGGGCCCCTCAGATCTGGTGTGTTTCTGAAGCAAATTTGTTGGCAGCACTTCAGATCAAATGTTGGTCTGCAACACTGAATATTCTGACATTAAAGTTGGAAATTATTTTTCCAAGAACAAAATAATTATATTACATTTGAAGATTTCGTATATGGTTCCAGACATGCCTGAAGTTTTCCAAACAAAAGGTTTTTTGCTGCAGCTGTGTAATGAGCCCAGGTCCAAGGCCACTGTGCACCAAATAAAAGCTTTAAATATACTCTCAGATCCTGCCAGAGATACAGATCAAAGCTGACATCGGACTTGAAGTAAAAATTTATATACAAAAAGTATTTAAATAATTTTATAGAAATGTATTGATAATTCTTCTGTTTTCAAGATTAAGGTCTTATTGATAGTTACCAATGTAAAGAGTATTTAAGTTACTGTATTCCAATGCCCATAGAAATGTTGCGTATGGAAAAATCTTGGTTTGCTTTTTTGTTTAATAGTGGTAAACTTAAAGGTCTTGCAAAACCTACTTTCTGGGGCGAGTAACTTGAAGAGGTAAAAGACTTGTGAGTGGTCAAATGTACTGTGCTTAAGACATTTAGGACATAAATGTCAGTAGGGTCAACATTTGGGTAAATATTTGCTCCCATTTCAGGCTGTAGCTGCTGGTGATTGTCAGGAGTTGCCTTACTTTAGGGGAGGAGTTCCCTGGGAGAAATTGTTCTTGTTGTTGAGCACAAGAAGCTAAAGTTCTTAGAACAATGGCTAAAACAGCATGAAAAGATTATTACAGAATCAATTTAAGCTTCCCTGTCTGCTGCCTCTGTAGCAAACAGGAATATATTTACTTGAACTGCTTTTCAGAGAATTGCACAGTTTCTAGTCATAGTGAAGAGTTGTCTTTTAAGTTTTGACAGTCTGATTTTTTTATTTTTTTTTCCCAGGAAGGGGGAACGGGGTCTCTTCATTTAAAATCATAAATGGACTCTCTGCACTTGCATAGGTTCTGCCCTAAACCTTGTGGTTTTGGGTATGTTATCACTCAGATGTTGAATTGAAAACCATCCTTGCATCAAATAGCCCACCCCAAAGTCTGTTTCTTACTATGACTGTATTTTGCTACTATATCCTTTTTTTTTTAAGAAACATAAATACTGGAGATGGCCTCATTGCTTTATGTACACCAGACTAATGGCTGAAGGTGTCAGCCTTCATGGCAGTTAACAAGTTTCAATTTGAGTCCCTGTGATTTACAGAGCAAAACATGATAAATGAGTCAGATGAACCCTCAGAGTTCTCTTCACTTTGGAAGAAATTCTGTGTTGAACTTTGTTAGTTTGTTCCCTCGCAGTGGGGAAGGCCTGCTGGTTCACTTGTACTGCTGTAATGGCAATGCAGGGAACATGAACACACACACTACCTGTGATTGATTTTTTACATACAACTGAAAAATGAGGCCACTGAAGATGGATTGCAAAAGTAGGCAAGAGTGGCTCTGGTACTTAGATCTCCACACGACAACTCTGCCACTGTAAATGCGTGGTAGAGGTGTGTTTCTCTTTGTAGTTGAACACGTTTTTTTAAACTATTTGTGTTTGACACATTAGTGTTCAGCCAACATTGCTACCATCCATTTTACTTTGCTTTCATTATTGTTCTTAAATTAATACTTTTAAGTCCTCATAGGCTGTGTTGCAATAACTAGAATGATTCACTTTTATTTAGAATTAATTTCTTAACAGAATTTAATCAAAGATGCAGAATGGCTGTTAAGGGACCATTAAATGTGATTTTAAGGTTCTGTTTACTATTATGGATGTAATCCTTATAGTAAATTTAATTTTGTAAAGTAGTGTATAATATTGTAATATTAAATCTTCGTTCTCTGAACTCAAAGATTTGATCTTCAGTATGAAGTTATAAATCTTCCCCCTTCTGAATTTGAGACAGGATTTACTTGTCCTCCTTTTTACAGTTTGTAATTTTCACTGTTTTATTCCTGTAAAAAGTCATTTATAACACATGCAAATGCTTATTTTATCTGTGCTAATTTATCAGATTTGGCTACTCAATAAAATTAATTGAACAAACTCATGCCAGTCCATCACTTGTTTCTTATAAATAAAAGTAGAACAGTGTATTCAGTTAATTGAGATAAATACCACATTGGTTACAGCAGCCAGCTGACAGTGATGGTTGGAATTTAGCCTTCAGCAGCATTCCAAGATGGTGATCAATTTTATTTTAGGTAATCCTGTATCTTCATTTAACATCCCATTATTTCAGCAAAGCCATTCCATCTTAATGCTTGCAATTTTTTTGGAGATATTTGTCACTGCTGCCTCTGGCCCATCATAGACAAGTTAATGCATGAGCTTGGTAGTCTGGCTTCTGTATTTACATGGTTTTAAGTACAGAATTCTCTCAATATTTTAGAAATATTAATTGGACTTGTCAGCTCTGTTTTTTATTCCCAATACACGTAACACTGTCCTGCTGCTGCTGCCCTCCAGCACTGCTGTTGTGGCGTGGGGCTCAGCCGGCAGGTGTCCTGGGCTGGCTTTTGGCATTCCGGGCTCTCCAGCGCTGCTCTTGTGGCGTGGGGCTCAGCCGGCAGGTGTCCTGGGCTGGCTTTTGGCATTCCGGGCTCTCCAGCACTGCTGTTGCTGTGGAAGTGTCCCTGCCTCGGGAGAGAAGCGGTGCCAGGGCCGTCCGGCAGTGCTGCTGATGGAGCCCTCTGTGGCATTGCCATGGGGCTCTTGCAGGTAAGGGAAGTGTAATGTGGCACTTTGATCACCTGGCATACAAGGAGAGGTGTAGCCGACTTCTAGTGTACATAAAGAAAAATATTATGCCGACTGTATCTTATTGGAAAGAAGTCACCGCCCCTGTTCTATACTGCCGGTAGTTCTGGCGGCCTCGAGAGGTGCTCGTGTGTCGGTGTTTC